ACACGACGCAAATACATGACGCGAATACGCCACGCAAAAACATTACGCAGATGCACTACGCAAATACACTATGCAGAAGCACTACGCCAAAACACACCACGCGAAAACATTACGCGAAACCACTACGCAAAAACACTACGCAAAAACACGACGCAAACACACGCGGAAAACGCTACGCAAAAACACCACGCAAAACCCCTACGCAAAAGCACTATGCAAACACACTGCGCAAATACACTACGCCAACACACTACGCCAATACACTACGCAAACGCACTCAGCACATACAAGACGCAAATACACGACGCAATTGCACTACCACAATACACTACGCAAGCGCACTCAGCACACACACACACGACGCGAATACACGACGCAAAAACACCACGCAAACACTACGCAGATGCGCTACGGGAACACATTACGCGAACACACTACGCTAAAAACACTACACAACAACACTGCCCGAATACACTACGCAAAAACACTACGCGAAAAAACACTACGCAAAAACCCTACGCAACATTACTACGCGAAAGCACTACGCAAAAACACTACGCCAACACACTACGCCAATACACTACGCAAACGCACTCAGCACATAAACGACGCAAATACACGACGCAAATACACTACGCCAATACACTGAGCAAACGCACTCAGCACACACACGACGCGAGTACGCGACGCAGAAACACTACGCAAAAACACTACGCATATGCGCTGCGCACACACACACACACACACACACACTACGCGAAAACACTGCGCAATCAAATACTACGCAAACACACTACGCGAAAAAAACCACTACGCGAAAAAAACGCTACGCAAAAACACTTCGCAAAAACACTACGCAAAAACCCTGCGCAGATTTATTTCACCCCTAGGCATACCTCTCTGAAGTTGCGATCCACGCTTAGTTCGGGGAGTTTGTCCGCCTCTTCACCACGGATTCATTATGTCGCCCCTCGTGGCAATGGTAGGGCAGCGACCAGTGGCAAAGTCGGTTGGCGCTGGCTTTGGCAGGTCTTGCAAACATTTTTGGTCTGCTCTCGCGCCAGGGTTTCACTCCAGTGGGGGGGGCAGTCTGTCGCAGTCGCAGCGCGGCCCGAGCCGACGCCAAGCGTCGGCCATGAGGGGAACGAACCGCGGCAGCTTTGCGAACAGAGGAGCTGTACGTAGCTCCTTCTTGCTCTTTCCCTCTTGCCCCCCCCCATCAGGCCTCTCCCCCGTCCGCCGAGGGAAGCAAAGACCATCCCGACCCCCACAGCTGACCTTTTAACAGTCGGTCCCAGGCGTTTGCCCCAAAAACCCTGTCATGTTCGATTCTTTCTCTGGGCTCGATTCCTTTTCCAGGCGCGAGTTTAGTGCATGTTGTAGGGGTGGTCATTGTGCGAGGTGTTTTTTCGGCCCTTTGGCCCGCCACCCTGCTGCCCCCCCCCCCCCCCGACTGCGGAGGCAGAGGAGGAGGAGAGGGAGGTGGAGGAGGAAGAGAGGAGGAGTAGGAGGAGGAGGGGGAGGAGTAGGAGGAGAAGGAGGAGGAGGCGGAGAACGAAGAGGAGGAGGAGGGGAGGAGGAGGAGGAGGAGGAGGACCAGTGGAAACCCAAGAATCATCAACGATGTTGGAATAAACCCTCCTTCCAAGCCCAATCTTCAGAGGCCCCTACAACGGTTCATTTCCACTGAGAGAACTGCCTCGTTGGAAGAAGGCCGTTTGAACACCCTGAAGCATGCAAAAACGTTGTTCTCGGGATTTCAACGCCACGGATCAGCCTGACTGTTGCGTCTTGACGATCTTGAATTTTTCAAAAAAAAAAAAAAAAAAAACATTCCTGGGACTTCAACACCGCGAATCAGTATAACTCTTGTACCTTCATAATCTTGAATCCTTCCAAAACACCATTTCTGGTCCGCTGATCATGGGAATACGTGAAACTCTTCCCATTTGTCTAAACCGAATGTTCGCGGCGCGAAGGCAAGAGCCACATTTTGAAAACGACCCGCCCTCAACCCGTGAGACTCTTGCAATGTTTTTCTAAAGAAGCCAATGTTCGCGGCGCGAAGGCGAGAGCCACATTTTGGAAACGACCCGCCCTCAACCCGTGAGATTCTTGCAATTCTCAGACAGCGAATGTGCGCGGCGCGAAGACGAGAGCCACATTTTGAAAACGGCCCGCCCTCAATTCGTGACATTCGTTGCAAATTTGTAAAGCGAATGTGCGCGGCGCTGAGGCGAGAGCCACATGTTGAAAACCAGCCGCCCTCAATCCGTGAAGCTCTTGCAAATGTTTAAAGCGAATGTGCGCGGCGCTAAGGCGAGAGCTACATTTTGAAAATGGCCCGCCCTCAATTCGTGAAACTCTTGCAATGTTTGAAAAGCGAATGTGCGCGGCGCTCAGGCGACAGCCACATTTTGAAAACCACCCGCTCGCAATTGGTGAAGCTGTTGGCCACTTGTAAGCTTCAGGGTCATAGATGGTGAGGAAGTCTCCGGCGAAACGCAAGGCCTGTCCTTTTTTTAACGTGCCTCGGGGTGCGACAGGGAAGAGTTATCTATAAGGAAATGGAATGTAGGAGGAGGAGGAGGAGGAGGAGGAGGAGGAGGAGGTTACCAAATGCCACTGCTGGCGACCCTGGCACCCCACCTCGGCAAGCGCCAGGCCTCCGCCGCAGGCGGACCACGTCAGGCTCATGCTGTGCGGCCAGCGAGCGCACGCCTTGCGTCGGGCTCTCCAGGCTGAGCGCGGCCAGCAGCCCAGAGCCGGCCGACATCGAGAGATTCGCTCGGTCGGGAAGCCGCCGCGATCCACGCGGTGTCAGAAACCGACGCCCAGGACGTCACGACGCGAGATTGCGGCACTCATCGGGGGCGGCCAAGAGGGGGGTGATGACTAGGGGGTGGGAGATCATGGCGTGGGCCATGATATTTCCCCAGATTTCATGGCGCCTCTTCTTATTTCATTACGTCCCTGGCCCCCCCTGGGCCGCGCACATGCCGCCGGCCATGATTTGCATCCCCCCTCTTGGACACCCTCCTCTTGGCCGCCCCCGAACCCACGCTGGAGCCCCCGCAAGGCCCAGTTTGATTTGACGATCCGCTTCCATGTCGCGCCTACCTCGCTCGGTCCGCTTCGAGGTCGCCTTCCGTGCGATCCGGTGCGGCTGGATGTCGGCACAGCGCAGTTGCGTATGCGTGCGCAGTCGGTTTTGCAGTTGCGCCGGTCTTCAAGGAACCTCCCGTTTCCGCCTTGGCCTAACAGTTCTTCGGCGGCCTCGTTTCGTTTGGCCCAGTTTCCTAGTCCTGTGTCCATGCACGGGGCATCGCGCGCGAGGCTGGCCCAGCCGTTAACTCAAGCTATTGGTCGGAAGTTGGCCCAGGTATCCTGGGACGTCCCCATCCGAATCACACATTCGGTTGCCTTCGTGCCCGACTCCGTGTGGCCGCAGCCAGACCCGACGCGCGTTCCGATTCGATCCGCTTCTCCGTTGCGGTGCTGAGCGATCCTTCCCCCTCCCCCGGCGCCCCCGCGCTGCGCGCGCAGGTGCCCCACCCCCCCCGTTCGGGCCTCGCCTGTCCTTCCTCGGGCCCCCTCACCGCTTCCGCCGCACGCCGCGCCTCCGTTGCCTCGCGTGGATCGCGCCGTCCTCCAAACCAGGCTTGTGGGAGTCGATTCATGGAGAGGAAGCATGCCGCCAAATAATGTCCAGATGTCTAAAAGATGTTTCAAACATACTTTAAATACGTTGAAAGCATGTTTGAATCATGTTCAGAACATGTTTTACACATCTTAAACACATCTTATATTCAATCATGGGATTGTTAGAGTGTCCACTGTCATCGCATCCACAACACTCGGCAGCACCACGCGAACTCTGCACACTGGCTTCCCGGATTCGGATCTGTTTGAATGGAAGCCTTGGAATAGTAAGGAGGGGGGGCGAAGGGGGGGGGCGCCCCTCCCCCCCCGTCCTCTCCTGGCGGGGACACGTGCTCCTGGCGAAGAAGCATACATCATTCTTGCTCCAAGGGATCGTCGTCGTCGTCGTCGTCCTTCGTCCGTTGTCGTCGGTTCGCCGTCGCGCTACTCCTCGCCCGACGTCGCTAGCGATCTTGGGTCGCCGAAGGGTCTCTCACTCTTCGCCCAGAGAAGTTGCATGTCTGTTGAGCTTGAATCTGGCAGCACCACGTGAACCCTGCACACTGGACTCCCGGATTCGGATCCGATGTAGGCGCCTTTTTACTTCAAGGATCGAGTGGTTGTCCCTTTTCCTTCGTCTTCAGGGGGCGGGCGCGAGACCAATCTACTTTCAACGGCTTCCGACTTCACGTCTCTACCCATTTCTTCCGACCGATAGTTGATTATTTCTGCCGGTCGGATTTCAGAAACGCCGGCGGGGATTCAGAATCCGAGGGATGTCTACAGCCAATTGGAACCACGCGCGAGTGTCCGATATCCCCGGTGGGACCCGCGAGGGTAGGGTTCGCAGGTGGTGGCAGAATTGCCTGCCCCGCACGCAGCTCACTATGGCACTCTTGAGCAGAGCTTCTGGCGCGAGAGGCGGTTTGGGGAAATTCTCCATCGTTATTGCCCTACCTTTTTTTCTTCTGGAGCTTTGGGGGGGATCGCCGCCTTTTCCTTAGCGCAGTGAGGAGCGGGAGGGGGCGGGGAGAGAGGGGATGGAGGAGTGGTCGAGGAATCATGAAAAAGTGAAGGGATGGCAGGACACATGAGCAGCTTGAATTGACTGGTGAATGGGCGGGGATGACAATCACGAAAATGATGCATGAACTTGACGTGGACGAGGAGGAGGAGGACGAGGATGTGGACAAAGAGGAGGCGGAGGAGGTGGAGGAAGATCAGGGGGAGGAGGAGGAGGAGGAGGAGGAGGAGGAGGAGGAGGAGGAGGAGGAGGAGGGACGAGGACGTGGATCAAGAGGAGGCGGAGGAGGAGGAGGGGAGAAGGCGGATGGGGAGGGAGGGGAGCTTGGCCACAGGTGATGGTCACAAACCACGAGTGCAACGAGCTCTTCGAGTCGAACGAGCTCAACGGCCTGCTGGTCCCCGGGGGGGGGGGGGGGGGGGGGGCGCCGCCGCCTCGCCAGCGGGAGGGGCACGGGCGAGAGCAGCAGGGCAGCGCGGGCGGGTGATATCAGAGAATGAGGGGGGGGGGATCGAGGGAGGGATGCAGGGAGGGAGGGAGGGAGGAGGAGGAGGAGGAGGAGGGAGAGGAGGGAGGGAGGTAGGAGGGAGAGGAGGGAGGTAGGAGGGAGGAGGAGGAGGAGGAGGAGGAGGAGGAGGAGTAGGGAGGGAGTAGGAGGGAGAGGTGGTGGTGGAACTCTGCGTCTTGTCGGTGCCGACGTGCAGTGGCCCTTATAGTGGGCCGGCTCGGACCCGGCCTGTAGCCGAGTGGAGGGTGGTGTGGCGGGCCCGATCCCTTGTCAGGCCCTTCCGAAGATTTGTTGGGCCCAGGCCGACCCGCTCCTTGGCAGGTCCGCCCGAGCCCTGCAGGGGCTCTCCTGCATGAGGTAGCCCTCTGGGGCTCCCCACGCGAGTCGCAGGTCAAGGCCCCTAGAGGCCCACGGTCTACGGCGTTCTTGCCGTATCCGCTGGGCCCTGGCCTTATTCTCGGCAATCCTGCGCCGCTGGGTGTCGGTAAGAGAGCGGCGAGGAGGGAGAGGCGGAGGCGGAGGCGGAGTCGGGGACCAGAGGAGGGGAGAGAGACCGATCACCTCAGCAGCGTAGGCCTCCTCCTCAGTGGGGCCCTGGCTGTCTTCAGGATCCTGGGAGGGGCCTGGGGGGTCCTGGCCAGGCGGGCCCGGGGCCTCAAAGCGGCCCTTCTCAGGGTCAGGCCTGCTGCGGCCCTTTCCCCTCGCAAAATCAGGGGCCCACTCCCTGGCCCCGTCCTCAGACGTAGGGATCTCTGAGACATAAAAGTCCGCCAGGCCCTGCACAAGGAGGTGGTGAGACTGGGATTCGTCCCTGGGCTCGTCCGGGAGCGCAGCATCAAGAGCCGATTCGAGCGTCTCCAGAATGCTCTCGGCGATGCTGCGGCAGAGGCCCGGGGGGTAGACCTTCTTCCGCGCGGTCCGGAAGGCCCTGGACCCTATCTCGCGCCCTAGGAGAGTGGCATAAACCTCTCGCCCGTGGGAGCATTTTCCTCCCCCAGGCGTCGCAGTCAGGCGACTGTGCAGCCCCGCCATGCGGAGCCCGAAAATTCTGGTCGGGGCCCTACTCAGCTGGCCGTGCTCGCACTGGTCGAAGTCCGTGGTCGTGGAGCACGGCGCCGACAGCAGCGCGAGCCACGGCTCCCATGTCCACGATGTGACGGCCGCCAGCCGCCAGCTGCACGGGATGGGGTGCTCCGACCACCCTGCCGTGCCTGCCACCAGGTGCGCCGCGAGGAGGAGCACCATGGACTGCATCAGGGCATTTCCCACGGCCAGCTGGATCCTCTGCCGTGGTGCCGCGTGCGCCACTCCCCAGAACTGGTCGTGGGATCTGAGCGGCGGTGGGCCTGGCTGCTCTGACCATCTCGCCGCACTCCATGTCTCACATGGCGGTCCTCCTCCCGACATCATGATCTGCCTCTCCATGATCCCCTCGTGGAAGACCATCAGGCTGTCCTGTCGCATGAGGTCGCAGCGCTGAGCGTCGATCGCCACGTCGATGCTGAGGACCATGATGTGCACCTTCTCCGACATCACTTCGAACTTCGGCGCTGACTCGAACACATGTTGAATGTCCTCCTTGCGCCTGTGCCCGCAAAATAGGTTAAGTACGTAGATCTCTGCCCTTTGTATCCTCCACGGTATCTTCACCTCCGTGGTGACCCCGCTGTACTTGTCGGTGCGGAACTGGTTCAGGTCGTACCTTTCGTCGTGCTGAACTTCCGGCTTCACCTGTGGTCGTTCTTCTGAGCCCTCCTGGAGCGTGGCCCTGGCAGCGTCGTCGAGCACGTAGTCTGCCTCCAGCAGGACCTTCTTTGCGTCATCTTGGCTGAGGGATACCACGTCTGGCAAGGGCCCCGCTGCCTTGATCGCGGGTATGTTCACTCTCTTCCTCAGCAGGCCTCGTGGGAGCTCGTTGCGCATCTCGCTCTCCTCACTGCCAGGCGCCTCTCCCGCGTCAATAGTCGCGACGAGGCAGGCAGACGATGCAATCGCCAGGTGCTCGGTGAGGTGGTGGTTCTGGTCGAACAGCGTCAGGCAACCTTGGCACTGCGTTGCTGAATCCGTCCAGGTACGTGCTAGCCTGACCATGGTCCAGTGCTGCTGTGAGATGTGGACTCTGAGCCCTCTTTGTCGCCTGAACGTCCTCTTGCACCACGGGCACGTCCATTGTCTCGTTGACGCTGTGTCTGGCTCGTCTGCCTGCGGGGGCCCAAAAGGGCTGCCTTCCCTTGTGGAGTACGGCACTCCCGCTGGCTGCACCATGGCGAAGAAGCGCTTCTCTGCCATGCGCGCCGCATGACCTCTGCTCAGCTGTGCCGCCGCCGCCTTGAGCGTGTCGTTGAGCCTGTACTTCCACGAGGAGTGCGAGCGTCTGATCATCATCTCCAAGGCCTCAGCTCATCGCTGGGATCCGGGAGGTCCTGCAGGTCCGCCGAGTAGCCTTGCAGCCAGCGGAGGTCCCCCATTAGCATCTGCGGCCAGGACTGCCTCTTGGCATGCTGGGGCCGCAGGAGGAGCTGGGCCATCGTCGCGAAGGCGAGAGGTGGTCCTGCTTGCAGTAGTTCGCCGAAAAGCCTTAGCCTCGCTACTCTCAGCAGGTCCTCCGGCCGAGCCCTTCCCACCTTGGCGAGCAGCGCCTCATCTTCTGCCTCTGGGTAGGCGTCGAGGTCCAGCTCACCGTCCTCCTTGGTGGCGAACTTTTTCCCCGCCGCCGCCCTGTAGACTGCCATGACCATGGCGTGGTGATACTTGGCCTCCGCCCTCGTGAGTCCTGGCCAGCTGCCTTGCGAGAAGCATCTCGACGAGCATACCAGGGCGTCAGCGAAAACCATCTTGGTAGGCAGGTCCAGCTGGTGGCTGCGGAAGACCTTTTCTCTCAGCTTTCTGAGAGCGGCTGTAGTGGTGGCTGCGCGGCCGTAGAGCTCGGGGTACACCGCTCCATGGTCGTCGATGACCGTCCCCAACGCCACGTGGTTGTGCACTGCGTGGATGATGGCCCCCTCGTAGTGCTTCGACCTGAGCTTGACCCTTCCATGGCACTCATGCCATAGGGCCCTCCTCGCTCCCTTTGCCCCTTGACCTGCGAAGGCAAAGAGCGCCTCCGATTTGCCAGGATCCAGGTTGAGGACGAGGCCGAACTCCGCGAACGTGTCCAGAACAATGCCCGCGATGACTGCCACCGCATCCATCGCCTCCTCTGCCTTGCCGATGAAGAAGAATGTGCCGTCGTCCGCAAAGGCCACGCTGTGGCCTGGTATCTTCTCAAAGTCGAGGTCGCTGTCGAGCTGCTGCGCCAGCGAGCGTACGTTGGCACCTGTGACATAGATGCCGTAGCCCTCCTCCTCGATCCTCGCCTCCGAGACCCTGATGGCCTCCGCCATGGCGATCTCGTAGATCTGGTCGGCGAGAGGTTGGCCTGGGATCGAGGACTTGGTTCCAAGGGCAACGTGGTCCGAGCTCTCGCAGACGAACCATGAGGCCGTGTACTGCTCCTCGACCAATGCCTTCAGATGCTCACTGGCCTCCGTGCGGTGGAGCAGCGGCATCTCCTCCTCCAGCTTCTTCTTCAGGATCTCCAGGGCCGTGGGCGGGGCGGCCGTGGACTCGGCGATCGCGTCCTTGTCTGCCTTGGCCATGGGCGTGCGCAGCACCAGCTCCCTGACCATGGAGTAGAATGCGTTCTTGACGTCCATGAAGATTGCCGCGAAGGACAGCATGTTGGCGGACGCCGCTGACTGCGGCATCCTAGTGACCACCGACGCATGCTGAGTGCCTCTGCGCCTGACTCCTCCAAATTGGCGGTCTCCTACGGCTTGTGGCAGGTACTCCGCCACCTTTGTCCTGTAGAAGTGCCTCACCCTTTTGCCAACCATGGCCGTGACCGCGAAGCACCTGTGGTTGCCGCACTCTTCGGCTTGCTTTTTCTTGTGGTGATGTCTGTAGAAGCCTCCTTTCCACTGTACTGGCTCCACTCCTGTGCAGGCAAACTTGGTTGCCAGTGGGTGGTATGCCGCCGCCAGTGTCTTCGGCTGCGTGCGGAAGAGCTTCCCCATCAGGCCGTCGACCCCTGGCGCTGAGTCCTTTGTGATCTTCATCGCACGCTCCATGTCCGCCAACGTCGGGACGCAGCTGGGGTCGAGTACGTCTGGCATCAGACTTCCCTTCTCAAACTGCGCCTGCATGAGCTTGTGGAGGTCCGCAATCGGCACGTCCGCCGCGAACTCTACCAGGCTGAAGTGCTGGAGCCACCTGTTCCCCATCTGGGCCTGCGACGTGGCGTACGTGCCGTCGAGGAGTTTGACCGACGGGAGACACTTGTTCATCATGCGCTTCTGAGATCCAATGCCCATTCCCCTCAGCCGTGCAAACGCTACGTCCGTTTGCCTCTTGTCCCATGCGTCGTGTATGTCTCCTGCAATGCGATGGTACTGATCTCGAGCGTCTTGGCGGTGAGAGGCCAGGATATCTGCGCCCACCAGCTTCCAGCACCACTGGCTCAGAGCCTACGTCTTGGTCTGGATTGTACTCGCCATCCTCCAGTAGAGGGTCGGCAGTAGGGTCTCCCAGTCGTCCCCCACCTCCTCTAAGGCCTTGATGGGCGTCTGGGTCGGGCTGATCGCCAGGCGCTCGTGGAACAGGTGTCCGTCGGGCCTCTGTAGCTTGGGCTGCAGGCTGTAGGTGCCTCTCTTGCTGGCCGGCTTGTTTTGATCCGGCGACGTGGCGACGCGTGAGGCAGCACTCGGCTCGAGGAGCACCGAGGCTGCCGGTTCTGACCTTGGCAGAGCGTGGCCATTCGAGGCATCCGGCGATCTAGTGGCGACGACTTGGGACGCTCTCGGCTCGAGGAGCACCGAGGCGTCCCGCTCTGACTTCGGCAAAACATGGCT